TGTTGATGATGTCGGCACAGGGAGTTGAACCGGCAAACTTCCCATCACAGGCCCACCTTCTCTGCGCCACCACTCCCCCAATCCCATTTGTAATCTATTCATCCTCTCTCTGCCTATTTCAGCTGCTTTTTCTGCAGCATTTCCGTTCTATTCAGCATTTTCTACACATTTCTCGTGGTGTTTCTGTTGCTTCCCTCTTTTATCGTCCTAACTTCATCGAACGTCAGCTGCTGAAATCCAACTCACAGTTCAGCGATGAAACCTTTTCAGCTGATTTCAGCTTTTTCAGCAACAACCTTTCAGCAATGAGCGTTCACGCTGCAGGAAGTTTGTTTTAGTTTAGACTGTTGGCACGCACGACCTGAAAGTAAGGCCTCACCGTGCGTGTTGGCATGTGTGTGTGTGTGTGTGTGTGTGTGTGTGTGCCCCTTTAAGCCAGTTGTGATTGAAGGGGCAGTGTGTCTGCGTTCATGAGTCAGCTGCTGCTCTGAGCCTCTGCTACACGAGCCAGCTGATCTCCGCTCAAGTCTTTATTCATTCTCTCTCTTCTTCTTCTCCTCTGACTTTCCGGACATCATCTTCTGGGTTTATCCTCGCCCTGGTGTTGACCACGGTGTGTGTGTGGATGGGACTGTAAAGCCATGCTGCGTGTGTTTATTCTGTGTGCAGAGCGTCTCCACACTCCGGACGATGACATCAGCGACGCCTACTGCAGCGTCACGTATGAAGGTATGACCGCCTCTGGGAAGAGTCCGCATTAAATGACGTTTGTGAGACTTTCTTTGTTGTCTTGTTCGGGTTATTTAAAGAAACCCAAACAGCTGCACGGTTTGGACATCATTCGTTTGTTGGGTGGGGCTGACAGAGGAGATGGGAGGGTGGGCGTGAGGTGAAGAGTTCACCTGAGGATGCAGCGACAGGAAAGAAAAAAGCGTCTCGGTGCTTGTCCTGTGAAGCTCAGCTGTTTACAGTCACCAGAACTTGTCAGCTCAGATTGTCCTTTGTGGACCCCTGCTCAGGATTTGTTCGGGTGGGGGGGGGGGGGGCCTTGCACGTTGTTCTGTTTGGCAACGATATGGGAATTTGTTAAAGGCACACCTTTTGAAATGGGGCTTTGTGGAAAGGTGATGAGCAAAAAACGTCTTACCTGTTGCAGATAGATTTTTGAGTGGCTTCACTTTGGAGAAATACCATTTAATTCTGGTCACCTGAGACGGGGCCAAGACCAAAGTGGACTGCTGTCGTTTTAAAGCAACTCCAATCATTTAAACCCTATTTTTCCCACCAAACAAGGGTGGAAATGCAATTTCACCACTGGGGGTACAATAAAGAGGAATAATCAAAATGAGCATTTTTGGTAGGAACATGGATTGATAGTGGTAACCTAATAATGCAACGTCCTATTTGGGAATCAAAGTCTATTCTGAACAGCATGAACATGAGATAGAGTAAAGAATATACACGTATGAAGTGACCTGCCACCGACACCTGCTACAAGTCCACTGGTCCTCCCACACTACAAAAGCTGTGAGTGGAGACCATGAATCCTTCCTGATGCAGCTCAAGAGAAAGAAACAGTTTTCCCATGAGTGAAGGGACATCTGTCAAGCTTCATTCTCAAAGGAACCTGAAAAAAGGAGGCATCCCCCTCGCCAATGGACTGAGGACTTTCTCTCTTTCGCCTTCGACGAAGAGGGTCGCTCTTACCCTCCCTCCTGCTTTTTTTGCTCTCTTGTCCTCGCAATCTCAGAGCCATAGACATATTCTGAATCAAAAATTATTTTGGATTTGGTCAGCTGGTCCCTGAACACAGTAGATAAAATAATTTCCACCAGACAACAGGATGCTGGAGAGCCCTCATGGCCTGAGCGGACCCACGCAGCTGGATATGTCATGGATTCCTGGAGTGAGTGGGAAATAGTGTGCCTGTCTGGGCTGTCCGTGGAGGACATAGAAGATGTGTACACTATTGGATTTATGATAACAGGGTTTCTGCTTTTTGGAATGGTGGATACCTTGGATATCGACATATTAGGAAGACGTCGGCAGCAGTTTCGGCCGTGGTAAAGCTGCCAACCTTATGTGAAGGACTAATCCATGCCTCGAGTTCTCCAACTCATAAGCTTAACTAGCTCAATCACAAACTGGACGCGATTTTTGAGGATCGTAGGCCACTTGCGGCTCCTGGAACTCGCCAGCATGAAGGATTCAATTGTGGAAAATGCAAAATCGAGCACGGACTGGGCGGAATATCCATAAATCTGGCTGTTTGTTTCGCCATTTTGTGTCCAGCAGAACTTGAAGTCAGACAGAAACCAGAGTCTGGCGTCCCAAACAATTGTTGTTTGTCTTAATTTGGCCTCCCCGCTGGCCTTGGACAGGCCAACTTATCTCAAATTGCTCCTGGAGGATAGAAGCTATGCCTGCCTGCCCCCCCTTTCCGAGGACATCTCTGGCCTTATCAGAACCATGATGCTGATAGACGCTGTACCATCTTATCAGAACTTTGGAACTTTCTGGAGTATTTATAGATAACTCACCGGCTTTGTTGACCTCTATGCATAAATGTATTATGATGTCATTGTATGTTGCAGCTTTATGTTGCAAGGTGTTTTTTGCATCTTTTATACTGTTTCCCGGCCAGGACATGATGTGAGACATGATTATTTTTTTGGTTTCTGGTGAACAATGTTTCAAACACCCCCATGACAGAAGGCTAAGGAAATGACGATGAGGAGGCTTTCTTATAGTTTACAAAAAACATTTTTTCTTGAGTCAGCACAGTTTAGTGTTAATTAGTTGCTACCTAACAGTAGATCAGAGTCAGAGTTTCTTTATTGTCATTCGCACCTCATGTGGTACATGTGGTGGATATGCTCAACGTAACGAAATTTTTAAGTATAAGTGCTATGTGTTGTCATCATCATATGTTCCCATACAATGACGAAATTAGTTCTCTGCATTTAACGCATCACACCTGAAATATGCCCAGGTGGAGCAGTGGGTAGCTATGTAAGCACCCAGGGAGCAATGAGGGATTAGATGTCTTGCTCAGAGACACCACGACATGTGGGAATGATGGGGAGTCAAACCACGACTTTCTGGTCCCAAGTCAGTTGCCCTACCTCTACACCATCTCAGCCTCCGTATCAACAAGCTTCAGTAATTAGCTTTGTTCTAGCCCAAAACTCTGACCAAGTATTCATGTGAGTGTGTGTACCTGGTTGTTGTTACCACTTTTGGACCTTCTCTGGTACGAACACTTGTTCCTAAATCCCATTAAAGAAAAAAGCTGAAAGAAAATTTGATTTGTCGACCCTAATAAAGTCGTTATTCACTTGTTATAAACTACTTGAAACAGATTTTGTACTGAATTTGCTTCCAGTTGGTCTAACAACCCAACAGATCTGAAAGTATGAGTGAAGGCGCAGCTTCCTGTCTGTGGGTGACGCCATACAATCGTATAAGTATCTGTTTTTTTCTTATTCTTCTTCTTCTTTCGGCTGCTCCCTTCTTCAAGGGTCACCGCAGTGAGCTAACTCCCACAAAGACTTGGCAGTTGTTTTTACGCTGGACGCCCTTCCTGACACAACCACAGACCACCGAGCTACCACAGCCTCTGTGTGGAGCAGAGAGCTGCTATCTAGGGTGACTGGGGGAGCAGATAGTGGGGGTTAGGGGCCTTGCTCAAGGGTTCAGAGTGGGGCAAATGAGAGTGGAAGCAGGCGTAAGTGTTTCAACTTTCCCACCCATTTTTTGATGTTGTCGGTCCAGGGAGTTGAACCAGTGACCTTC